GTCGATCGTGCGGCTCATCCATCAATCAGCCAGTTGTGTGTCATGTCCAATTTTATTTTGAAAAACCGCAATAGAGCGAGTCCGCGATAAACGAATCGCGAAGTAGCGGGGGACTACTGTATAACCAATTTACTTTCAGTCCTAACTCAGTTCAAGATGGCTGTCACCGCTAACTGATCTAAGCAAACACAAAACTTTATAATTTTTACTGATATTAAAGTCACATCTGGTGTGGTTGCTGAGAGTCATCCCCAACACATACGCCAAGCTCAAAGAGAGGTTCAAATGTTCCATAATATGTAGTGGGCAATATCCCTTCCTTCAATTAATGCATTTTTTATTTTTATTTTCTTTTATTTATTTACCTTAACAGCATAATGTGCTGACTGAAGAGGGAATGGTTAAATTAATATTTTAATATTTACTTTTTGTACTATCTTTATTCAAAGTCATCACTTACATATCCTATTATGCTTGCATGGCATTATGGGAATACAATAAGTAATAACTGATGGAAAAGTTTTCTTATCTTTCAAAAGGCCACAATGTATTTTTCATAGTAAATTATGGTTATCAGGAGACTTTTAGTGGATCTTCTCTATGAAACTTAGAAGTCATCATAAACACTTCTTACAGCTGGGATTCAAAGGTGCTTTTTCATTCTCTTTTTTCAGGGGAATGTTATAAAGCTGGAAGAGCTTGGAGTTCCTTAGAGCTAATATTAAAATTAAAATCTCAAAGCCAGAGTCTGAACTATTTAATCAAAGCTGGATTCAGTTGTGAGCTGCCACAAATAGAAAAATAGAAGTTCCATCATGTGAGAAATTCAAATAACTCTTCCAGGCTGAAAAAAACAACAACATCCAGACGTCACCTTAAAGTTCATTATTGTTAATATATGAGTTCTGACAGGCTTTGACTTTAATATTAAATATACTTTCAGAAAAGCTAATAAGCACATATAAAGTTTAAACATTTCTGAAGACTTACCAGTCACCGAAGCCCATTTGGAATTGAAAGGACTCTACAGGTTAATCGTACAAAGCAATCCAGCGCTGAAAGTCGGTTTTCGATTGATGGCAAATGCATATTATTTCTCTGCAAGGCTCGACTGTTCTACAGGAATCTGAGCACGGAGGAGCATCTTTGGTGTCAAACATTTGGTAATTGCCTGAATCTCCTGCTGTCTCCCTCTCAGAGAGGATTGTCTGAAGCAGGATTGCACTTAGAAAAAATACAATAAAAAAGAGAACGGGCAGCATCGCCAAAGACAGCGGTAATTTTTGTGGCAGTACAATTTAACAACTCCGTTGATGCAGAAAAAGCAGGAGAATGAAATAAAATAAGGATTTTAAAGGATGACAACTTTGTTTTATTCCTTATGCTTTAAATAAGGTGCTGTCAGTTTGAGTGGCCACCTGCTCTAAGAAGGATAAAAAAAAGCATACCTAAATGCATTTGCCGTTTTTCTTGACATTTTCATTTCTTTGTGTTGTGAAGCCACACAGGCATTTTTTTTTCCTGCATGGATATTCTTCTCTATAGAGCAAACATTGAACAGGGTAATATTACTATTTGCACTCAAAACCTTATACGTCTTAAAATTCAGTTCTTTGGATTTATTTTACACCCCATGATTGTCAAAAAGTCAAAAGGAGCAGTCACCGAGTTTGATTTGCTCATCTGTTCAAGTCTCAGTCTAGGAACCCACAAAAACAACATTTTATCCATCTGTCCGTCCATACATCCATTTAGCCATCCAGTCATCCATCCATTATCTTCCACTTATTCCGAAGTTGGGTCGTGGAGGCAGCAGCTTGAACAGAGAGGCCCAGACATCTTTTTCCACAGCCACCTCTTCCAGCTTTTCTGGGAAGACTCCAAGGCATTCAGATTCAGTTTATTACTGCCATTGTCAATGAACAGGATTCACAGACTAGGAACTTGCTTCGGCATTCCCAGGCCAACCGAGAGACGTAGTCTCTTCAAAGTGTCCTGGGTCTGCCTTCAGGTCTCCTCCCAGTTAGACATGCCCAAGCATCGCCCTTGCGAGGCACCCAGGTAGCATCCTTGCTAGATGCCCGAACCACCTCAAATGGCTCCTCTCGATGTGAAGTAGCAGTGGTTCTACTCGGAGTCTCTCCCGGATAACTGAACTTCTCACCATATCTCTAAGGGAGAGTCCAGCTACCCTGTGGAGGAAACTCATTTCAGGAAACTCATTTCAATTGCCTGTGTCTACAATCTCATTTTTTCAGTCTACCCAGAGCTCGTGACCATAGGTGAGTGTAGGAACGTAGACTGAGCTGTGAACAGAGAGCTTTGCCTTACAGCTCAGCTCCCTCTTCACCTCAATGAACCAGCACAGAGTCCACAATACAGCAGAGGCTGCACCAATCCGTCTGTCCATCTCACGTTCCATTCTTCTCTCAGTTGTGAACAAAGCCCTGAGATACTTGAACTCCTCCACTTGAGGCAGAACCTCAACCTCGACCCGGAGAGAGCAATCCACATGGATGAACAAATGTACATATTGTGAACACAGGATGGAAGAGCATGCTGTAATGGACCTTCCACCAAACCCAGTCGAGCATTATTAGAGGCAAAACACCAGCTCAGTGGGCTATTCCTAATGTGATAAAATTACCAAGTGCTGTAATCCTTTCAGCTAAAGACCACCAGCACATACTGCACTTTAGGTAATTATGTAGTTTACATATTGATTTAGTTATACCAGGGCTATGCCACCACTGTTTCTAGTTAACTGCACTTCAACGAACTTAAACTTATGAAGTCTTTATTTTTCTTAATTCATTCGATTTTATTTATACAGGTTAGTCACATTGAATCATGAGGATTCATTTACAAGAGAGACCTTATTATTATGGAAATATAAACTTCAGTTTTTGGACACGAACAAGTGAGGTTTTGTCTATCCTATACACTAACTCATTACTATATTAGCATATAGAGTTTATTCTGGTTTGTGGACTAATGGCTGGTATTCAAGAAAATATGTTACTAACTTTGATATATTTCCAGTTAGCTTGTATAGGCCTACACTCAGTATTCTGCTTTACAGTAACTGTTGCAGTCTAGAGAAATCGAAGAGCCTTGGTGTAATAAAATAATGATTAGACTACATTTATGGGGTACCTACTGTATATCTTTTATCCCTTGGTTTGCATTGAACTATTATTTTTGAACACTATTTTTCTTGTGCATTTAAAAATATATATTTTCTATAGCAGACCAACTGATCTTTGATGATTTCTGTATTAATCAGAATGAGAATCAGTATAAGCTTTATTATCATTGTACCGAGATACGAGAATATGCCCATACAGTCGTCAGAAAGATGGGTGGAGTGCACATACAGTAGCTTCTGCTCTTTAAGAGCGCGGCCTCTTATCCTTTTCAGAATAATTTTAGATAGAAAAGGGGGAAAAGCCATGAGGGTGGATAATGGTATTACAAAAAAAAATCACTTCACATCTTGTCCTGTCTGGACACGATTTAAGTCATCAAAAAACTCTACCAGCAAGTACATTTATAGAAACATTACATATGCATTTGACGTCAAGAGAGTGAGATTTGTCCATACATTTTCAGATAGGCCACAGTCCTGATGATGCTGTTTCAGCTGGCAGTTCTAATAAGCCTGCACAGAAGTTCTCAGGGGGGATTTGCGATAGATTAAGCTTTTTTCCTAGTTACCCATGTCCCAGGAGAAATTTGATAGCGGGCTTGTATCCGAGGCCAAACGGGGGAGTCAGATTCAGATAAACTGCAATTGTTGAATTTCTTAGGCAGATTGTTTTTTTTTTCTTGTCAGCCTTGAGTCCTGCTGGAACTTCCTCGGTCCAAAATGTCCAGATTATATGGGTATTCCTTTCCACTGATCCGCGTTATGAGCCTCCATCCCATATGCTGTCGAGTCCTAAAGCCGCAGGTAGCCTGCGATTCTCACAAATCATCTCCATCATACAGTTTAGCTCGTTAATCAGCTGATTTTTGAGTCCTCAGAGCACGAACCAAACACAGACTCTGAAGCTTTGTCATGGCCAAAACTGCTGCCGTTGTCTTTTTCAAGTTGATAAAACAGAGCCCCGCCGATGCCAAATACCAGAACCCCTGCTATCATAAATCCAAAATATAAAAGTTTTCAGCATCCTCCTGAGACAGAACTGAAAGACACATCAGCTGATCTCTGTAAACCGCAGTGTGAGTCTCAGCCGGGCAAGAGGGTTCTCCAGGACCCTGTCGTTTTGTTGAAAAGAAGCCGGTGTAACAAACTAATCTTACACACCCTACCTACCTAAACCATTATCTATCTATCCGTCCGTCCATAGTTTAAAATATTATAACAATCATTGATAAAACATTAAACATTTTGTCAGAGTTTAGACCCACCACCACCACCACCCCCACCCTTAGATATCCATGGTCTGCTGTCATGTTGGCAGGAACTAAAACCCCCATATAGCACCTACCAAAACACAATAGCTATTCCTCTGAAAATTAGTTCAGCATGAATCCTAATGACTAGTGTTGGTTGGTTAACATGTCTTGGTGTGATTTGTTACATCTCACACATTAACTGATAAAAACAAATGCACTGGCTTGTGAGGTTTGTCAGACTTTCGATTGGGAGCATGCATTCAGTCCGGAGTAACCAAGAGTTTTGATTTAAACTTGTCTGATGGCTTTTTCTGTCTGCGACATGCTCTCACTGAGATCGATAGTGAGTATACATATTACTGTCAGTGTCACTGCTGTGCAGACAATCAAAATGTTGATATTGGATTCCCGCTCAGTGGGAATAGCACCAAGAAGAGAAGGAAAGATGGAAATTCCTCAGGCTATTCTTGGCTCCTATGAGACTCAGGTCAACTCTTGTTTTTCAGTTTTTTCCCAAACTGTTGAATGTGTCAGATTTGAGTGTATTTTCAAGACTGATAAAAGTGAATAAGTTTTGTCTATGTTATGGTTTATTAAAGGATGAATGGACTGAAGCAGTGGACGTGGGTGGCTGCAGTGGCACTCCTGGTGCTAACGGTGATGGCAGCGGAAGGAGGGAAAGCAGAGAAACAAGGTGAGTTTTTAAAATTTGCTGTTTGCTGTAAGAGTGCAAACTTGTAAAAAAAAAAAAAAAAAAAAAAAAAAAAAATTTTTTTTTTTTATGAATACCCTCACACCACCAAACACATTCATTTGGGTAAACGTAAAAAAAAAAAAAAAATAAAAATAAGGTTGTACTTCAAGTAATTGGTCTCTTCTGGGAGTTTACCACAAAAAAATAAAATAAAAAATGCTAACAAAATAAAAAATAAAAATAAATCCCACCACTTGGGAGAAGAGAACCAATTTTGAATTAATTTAAAAAAAGAACAAATATATATTTGCATTGGAAAAGAAGCAAGCACCAAAACATATTACATACGTTTAAAAGATGGTAAATGATATTATGAACAAAGCAAGTAGCAATTTTCATTTTCTTGATTTATTAAAAGAAATTTTTATTTTAATTTGATTTTCTACTCAACTGAATATTTAAATTCTGCTTCTGTAGAAAACAATGAATGAAACAAACATTTATTAAAGACATGTAAATCATCCACCTTTTCACATGCCAAAGATTTAAACTAAGGTCTCACATGATCTATTAGCACTCAGCAGGGGCGATTCTAGAATCTGATCTTTAGGGGGTGCTTAGCCCACAGTGATGACAATGGCTCTTGGCTTGAACAACATGGTGGCCATTGGTGTCAGAAGCATTTATAATGTGTGTGTGTGTGTGGGGGGGGGGGGATGGAGCGGGGGTGTCTGGGTTAATAAGGTAGATGCCATTTTCTGCATTCTGGTGTAGTTTAACAGGTTGTTTAACATCTAGTTTTATCTAGCGGTACATAATTAAACACTTGATCCAATATGTATTTTAGAGAGCTCCCCACATCAGCAATTAGCGCTAAGCTAGCCGTGTGCAATACAGACGAACTAGCTAAAATGCTACTGACGTAGCACTCTGCTTTACATTACAAAACCTGATAAACGCTTTGTACAAAATCAGTTTAGTCTTAACTGATCATAATAAACAAAGACTAAACTTATGAAACCATAAGTTGCAACACATACCTACAAACAAAACACAACTAGCTTTAAGCATTAAACTTTAATTATGACAGAAAATGGAAGATTTACCTGCAGTTACCTTCGTACAGATGAACATGTGGTAATCAATGTTGTTTTCAGCTGCTCATGAGGTCGGCCGCAGGGCTTTATCCATCTTTTATATTTTCCCAGACACACTTTGGGTTTTGGAAATAGAATAAACTGTATTATCCTCTAAAGCAGAGCTTGTCTACTAAACTGCTCAGGGGGCCACAGTTACTGAAAGCCAGCAGCTCAGGGGCCGGACACCCAGCATTTAAAGTCATTATGCAAACAAATTAAGTATTACAATGATCTGTTGCCTTTAAAATTTGTTTATTTTGTTGCATTGAATCATAAATGCAATAAACAGAACCCAAAAGCTAAACCACAATATGCCCCCCCCCCTGCAAATTTTTATTTATTTTTTATTTTACATTTGTATTTTTCAGGGGTGCCGAGTTAAAATTTTAGGGGTGCTTGAGCACCCTAAAATGTCATTCAGTAGTTGATGCACATTCAGTGATTACTTTCTGAGAATTTCAATAAAATTTGTTGAACAATTCATGAGATATTTTACTAACAGACCAATAAAAAAAAATAGCCATACAGAGACACAATCAATTAAATGATCACCTGCCTTTCATTATGACAGATAATATTAAAACTTCAGCTGTTAAAACCGTATTTTTCATAATTCTTTAAAATATAAAACTGAGAAAGTCAGGAGAGATTTATACTGCAACCTGAACTAGATTTGCCCAAATTGAAAGACCTCATTGAAGGTACTCACTGCAAATTACAACATAAAACATTAAAATATATATCCTGAACTGAAGTAAATGGTGTAGTTTGAAAGTGTTTACTCCTATAGTTTTACAGATATATTAATATAAAATGATGAAATGCAAGTATGCATTTAATGTAAACAAAGTCCATTAATGAATCTGTTGAAAGCTCTGGTAGCTTGAATTATATGCTGGGCCTACATTGTGCTGTGCTGGTAAACAAATATGGCGGAATCTGACACGTGTTGGACCTTAGACAAAATATTTTTTGTGCTTTTCTTAAATTAATCCTGATTTTGTAGGTAAGAAAGAGCGCAAATCTGACTGCGGGGACTGGCAGTGGAGCGTGTGTGTGGCCAACGAAGGCGACTGTGGACTCGGCACTAGGGAGGGGACTCGCACCGGCACCGACTGCAAGCAGACTATAAAAACCCAACGCTGCAAGATCCCCTGCAATTGGAAGAAGAAGTTCGGAGGTGAGATGATGATTCAGACCTTAAAATATGCTAGTTTTAACAAAAACATACCGTATTTCTAAGTATAATGTAAAAGGTCAACACTTTACTTGTAGCATTTCTTTATGTACACAAAATGCATCTAGAATTTTTTTTTCTCCTGGGCAAATGAATGATTCTCATTTGTCAGTCTACACCTCCTAACGAGGAAGCTATTCAGACTGACAATGGCCCAATTTTGAGAACAGCAATCCATAAGCTAGCTAATTAGAGGTACAATAGAGATGTCTGCCGAGAAATGATACATTGTCAGAGAAACAATCACACAACATTGTTATTATGAGTCCGACAGTGTAGAACAGTGCGGCAGGTCTTGTTTTGGTCATGTGGGTGTATAAGAGGATACACTGTGAATACCATTAGGCAGCGTCAGGAAACACTAAATAATTTTGTCAATACAAGAGTGTCACAGCTGATAAAAGTTTACTCCCGAAACCTCACTGGTGTGTAACCGTCAAGTTCAAGAGGTGGAGGTCCGAGAACGCGTTGGCCTTGAGCTCGGTGCGATCACATCGCGAGATAGTTTCTAGCTTGATTTTTTTCTTTTTGAGCTCAAGTCTGCAGCTTTTTCTGCTAAAGCGTCTTGCAGTGACAAGCCTGGGGGACTTTTGTTCCCACGATAAGCCCTGTCAGACAGGGAGCCTGCTGCTTTCCAATGAGCCTGTCAGGAATGATGAACACAGTGCAGGCTACTGCTAACTGGCTGTACACATTATAGCTGCGAAAGTTTTGTTCTTTCTTTAACAAGTTGCAAAAAGTTACGTGGTTTTAGAATTTCCGTTCTGGGCCATTATTTGAGAAAATACATACAAAAAAATACAAAAACAAATTCATACTAATTATTAGGTTGAACAAACTGGAGCAGTGTGTCTTTACATTTTGAATATTCATCCATCCATTCTCTTCCGCATATCCGGGGTCAGGTCACGGGGGTAGCAGCCTAAGTAGGGAGGTCCAGACTTCCCTCTCCCCAGCCACTTGGGCCAGCTCCTCCAGGGGAATCCCAAGGCGTTCCCTGGCCAGACGAGAAACATAGTCCCTCCAACGTGTCCTGGGTCTTCCTCTGGGTCTCCTCCTGGTGGGACGTGCCCGGAACACCTCACCAGGGAGGCGTCCAGGAGGCATCCTAACCAGATGCCTGAGCCACCTCAACTGGCTCCTCTCAATGTGGAGAAGCAACGGCTCTACTCTTGAGTCCCTCCCGGACGACCGAGCTTCTCACCCTATCTCTAAGGGAGAGCCCAGACACCCAGCGGAGAAAACTCGGCCGCTTGTATCCGATATCTTGTTCTTTTGGTCACAACCCAAAGCTCATGACCATAGATGAGGGTAGGAACGTAGATCGACCGGTAAATTGAGAGCTTCGCCTTTTGACTCAGCTCTCTCTTAACCACGACAGTACAGTGCTCGCTTCACTCCCTACGCTGCACCTATCTTCCTATCGATCTCACGCTCCATTTTTCCCTCATTCGTGAACAAGACCCCAAGATACTTAAACTCCTCCACTTGGGGCGGGGCCTCCTCCCCGACCCGGAGAGGGCACTCTACCCTTTTCCGGCTCAAGACCATGGCCTCACATTTGGAGGAACTGATCATCATCCCGGCCGCGTCACACTCGGCTGCAAACCGCTCGAGCGAAAGCTGTAGATCATGACCTTATGAAGCCAATAGGACCACATCATCTTCAAAAAACAAGAGAAGCGATCCTAAGGCCACCAAAACAGATCCCCTCAACACCTTGGCTGTGCCTAGAAATTCTGTCCATAAAAGTTATGAACAGAATCGGTGACAAAGGGCAACCTTGGCAAAGTCCAACTCTCACTGGACCCGACTTACTGCCGGCAATGCGGACCAAGCTCTGACACTGGTCATACGTATTTTGAATATTTCTGCAATTTAACCAACTGTCGGCAGAAGAAGTCTATATAGGTTCACACCAGCTGCAATACCTGTCAGCATGCTGACGTTTGGCAATCGACAATCTCATGTAAACACATGTAAAGTTTTATTACTGGATCTTTCACAGTTATAGCACATCCTTTGTGCAAACTACACTTACCAACAATCATAAGGAACTCTTTATGACCTGCAGCAGGATGTACCACAGTTAAACCATCAGAATGACACTGCTTACTGACAAAAAGTGGAAACAATATATGCGCGTTCATAACGAGTAATACGTACCATCCATTATGTTCTGCTGTATTGTTTTTCCCTGGCATTAAATACAATTAACTCTGTTCTACAGATACCTACGTTTTCCACTCATTGTGTTTGACTGAGCTTTTATTAGATTTTGGGTTATTGCCTTTTGTTTCAGTTACATTTTTGTTCACTTTGAAAAGAATCAAGAGTTGTACCAGAGTGTTTTCTAAATAACCCTGACATTTAAAGCTTCCAAAAGCCCAACACAGCATAAAGTCAGGAGAATTATTTGCAATGCACAGTCATTGTTTCCACCTGTATAACCCAAAATAAAGGAGCACCTTTGGGGACCGGTGACACAAAACACACAAACTGTCCAATAATGGCTCTAATCCATCAAACAAAGAAAAATATTGCTGCCATGGTTGTTATATTATAAGATATTTTTTGGAATGGAAGTCTTATCTTCCACAAGTTTGCACAATTCTACAAATGTAGTTTTTAATGTTTTTATTTTTGGAGAACCCAGATGCCAAAAACCCTGAGCAAATAAAGTTGACCTTGATAAAACTTTATTATGAGTGATGAGCAAAAGAAATATGGCACAGAAGTGATGCAACGAGTTCAACTAAAGTTCAAACTAAACTTAAATCAGGAAAATTCAGAAATGAGCGAAAGGCAAAAAAAAAAAAACACGAGTCTACACATACACATTCACACAAACACGAATACTCACTAGATTGTTGCAAGGAAATAAGTTGAAAGATGTGGACTGCAAGGGAGAGCAAGAGCGGCAACAAGGCTGAAAGGATAAAAACACACGATCAATAATTGTCTTACAGGGACAAGTAGTAAGACACTGTCTCAGTTTGTATTTTGTGCTTCATTGAATCCTCTCCAAGAAAAAAAAAAGAACAAATAGCTCAGAGTTCTCATATGTTTCTGTCAGTTCGACATTGACTCTTTACTTTAATTCACTTTACAACAGTGTGAACAATCTAGTTAAAACCTACAAAATGCTAAGAGCTCTCCAAGTGTATTTTAGTGATTGGAACACTTAAAAACATTAAATGTATTTTTTTTCCTGTGGTCACAGTCTGGTGGATGGGGTGAAAAGTTGTGGTGGGTGAAATTTGTGCTTGCTTTTGCTCTTAACTGAGCAAGATGACCATGATTTGTTTTACCTGCCAATAAAAATGACAAGAGGACAGGTTTAAGCAATATTGGAAATAGCAGACTTGTAATCATAATTTAGTTGGTGGATTTTTATCTACTTTATATACATGAATTCATATACAAACGTGATAGAACAAAAATAAATAAATAAATAAAACTAATAAGAGCCACTTGCTAAAGTGCCAAACTTTTTGTGAAAACTTTTTTGAACATTTACAGTGCTTCAGAATCTCATTATCAGTCTCTCTCTCTCTCTTTGTTTATTTATATGCATACATACACATATACATATATACATATATATACAAAGTATACACTCTACAGTAGTCTCTCGTCACTTCACGGCTCGACTTTCCCGGACTCAATCTTTCGCGGTTTTTCAAATTTAGATTGGACATGACACACTTGGCTAACTGATGGAGGAGCTGCACGATCGGCATTGATTTTTTTAATTTAAAATTAATTATTTTAAATTATTTAGCACCTACTTCACCTGTGTGCAGCCCAGAGCTGCAGGGAGAACGTCCCTCCTGCAGCTCTTCCTCCCTCCTCCTTCCTCCTCTATGGATCTCCATTCTGCAGCGGAGTAGTGGGTGTGGCCGAGAGTGCAAAGTGCAGCCGTGGCAGAGAGAGCGGAGATCATGACATGCTGTGCTCTTTTAGAGCATTTAGAGTTTAGAAACAATGTTTAAAATATTGCAAGAGTGTGGGAAGGATTTAAAACACCTTTATACACACGCACACAAATAAACTACTACTTACTACTTATACTACTATTCCTACTTCACAGTTTTTCACTTATCACGGTGCTTCAGGGTACGAATCACGACGGACTACCGTAGACATGTTACATGTCTTGATAGATGTGAAATACTATGAAGGATTAAGCAAATTTACAATTTTCAAATTTGGATAGATTACTTGTTAACAGGGTGCAAATAATACAGTGACAATCCAGTTGAGTCAACTTCACATGGAATTATTTTACAGTATATAGTTTAGAGAGGTACCAAAATGCAAACAATTAGGATTATTGATAGATATTTGGTCCTACTGTTTTACATTTGTAACTAAATTTGATCTTTTTTTTTACTTTGGTAGGTGCAGAACTGTTGTCCTGTTCAACAACTACTGTATCTCCCTTGAAAGAATGTCAGGAAAAAAGATCAGAAGGAAAACGGCCGCTTAGACTTGCTAATGTTAGCTTAAGTGAACTTCAGGCAAAAGTTAGAAAGGTTACTCACTCTCTGACCTTTTGTGGAAACTCCTAAAAGACTGTAAACTGATTTAATTAGAATACTTACTCACTGCACACACTGTCTGCTTGACTTGTGATGACTTTTAACCTTTTTTAGACAAGTAAATACGCAGGAATTCCAGGGAATTCCAGGGAACAGTAAAACTGATGGCGGGGAAAGTGCTGGTTCAAATTTTAATTAGTGGGGTACATCGCGTCAGTAACCGATTTATTCTCATGGAATTGCTGCAATTTATCTTCACTCTTTTATATTCATGAAGATTTAAACAAATTAAAAGCTAACAAATAGTATTATTGCACATAAACAGTTGGTAACATGCAGAAGTTTACCTCAAAATGACACGATATCTGCACTTAATCTACTGCTGCATGAAGAAATATACACTTTAATAATGCTATATGACAGTTCACATTGAAGAAATACACCATAAAAACGCCAACACATCCACCGGCAGTATACTGATGTTAATATTCAGAGCAATTCTTAACAGTGTTTTTTAACCCATCATATACTTTTCCTTAGAAAGTCTATCGCGCCCACTTGTTATCTACAGTTGGTTGCTCGGGAGGTCCCTGTGGGATTCCTGCAACAATGGCCCTGTCACCCCCCCTCGTCCCCGCTCATCTCTGTGCTCCTTTCTCACCTCTCCTCCCACCTCTCTCCTGCTCTGATGAGCACTCTGGGATCTCAGTCGCAGTGACACGGGCTTTTATGTGCGAGGGAACTGACGAATGAGTGTCACCGCCTCGAGGGAGCGCGGCCGGACTGGCGGCGAATATAATGCAGGAAGAAACATGAGAGACACACAAACATACACACACACATGCTCTAACCCACCTCTATAACGTACACCAGTGTCTGCTGCCAAAGCAATCTCGAGCTCCTTTGATTGTGTTTAAAAGCACCATCAACAGGAATGTTTTATGTATGTGCTTTCATTTTAAAGTACTTTCACTGCTTGGTGGCTAAGGATTGTATTATTGCGTCATTTCCAGGATGAAACGCAGCCAGGTTGTGTTTGATTACATTCATCTGTTTGTGCACTTCTTCATATAAGAACTATAGGATCAAAACTGCGGGGCTCCATCTGTTTCGTCAAAGAAAAGCAGCTTTGCTGCTAAGAAAAGCTTGTATTTAAGTCACTGTGTGGATGTAACGGCCAATTGCTCGTTAAACAGCCATTAAAGGTCTATGACTCACAGACCCCTATGCTCAGGGTGCTTCTTTCAGTCATTCACTGCATTAAAACAAATATAGAATCTGCCTGTTGTCACCATTATTACCTTTTCTGCCTGTTTTATGTATTTATTTTATTTCTATTCAAGTTTCTCGCTAAATTAGAGCATCTTGTAATTCTGCATCTGATCTCTGTATTTGCTTCAGGGGAATGCAAGTACAACTTCCATGCTTGGGGTGAGTGTGACCTGGCAACGGGCAAGAAGAACAGGACGGGGGTTCTGAAACGGGCGCTCATGGACGCGACCTGCGCCACCACCGTCACAGCAACTAAGCCATGTGGGAAAATGCCCAAGACCAAGCTGCAAGGTAGGCTGAGAAGAGCAAATCATCGGTGAATAAACTGGAACCTTCAGTGTTGTACGGTGGCCCTAAGGTTTAAATGAACAACATTTGATAAAACGGAATTAGATTAGAAAAAACCCAACAAAAAACACAACATTTGAAAAAACACGGAAACACATTTGAAAAAAACAAAAACAAAACGGAATTACATCAAGCCAAAGTGGAAGTGGTTGAAGCGGAAGTGGCCAGAATCACATTTGAAAGAACGGAATTACATTAAGCCAAACCAGAAGTGGTGCTTTTTTTTGTGTATTTAAAAAAAAAACTTTATTAACAACATAAAACAGAACAACAGAACAATGTACAGTACGCACACAATGGAGGTATGGTTAGCAGGCTAGCACACACAATGGAGGTATGGTTAGCAGGCTAGCCTTTAGTCTGTAGAGATAGAGAGCTATGTTTTGTTCAGGCTCTAATCCTGCCAAGGTTTTCCAGCATCATAGCTTCTTCTTTAAGCTTGAACAAAACATAGCTCTCCATTTCTACTGTACAGGCTAAACTCTAGCCTGCTAACTGTACCTCCATTGTGTGTGTACTGTACATTGTTCTGTTGTTCTGTTTTATGTTGTTAATAAAGTAAATTAAAAATGCACCCCCCCCCCCCCCCTAAAAAAACAAAAAACAAAAAAAAAAACACCACTTCCGGTTTGGCTTAATATAATTCCATTTTTTCAAATGTGATTCCGTGTTTTTCAAAAGTGATTCCATTTTTTCTAATGCAATTCCGATCACTTCCGCTTTGGCTTAATGTAATTCCGTTTTTATTTTTTATTTTTTTAAGTGATTCTGGCCACTTCTGCTTTGGCCACTTCCGTGTTCCGTTTTTTCAAGTGTTATGTTTTTTTTCAAATGTTCATTTACACCTTAGGGCCACCGTAGCGTTGAGCCTGATAGTAACAAGATTTCACAGTCATGACGATGAATCATGTCCGCAAAACTGTTGCTTTCTTTAGCAAGTGAAGAAACTCAACATGCTTGAAATCAAATGACTGATTTGGACTTTGCAAAATATTTTCCTACCCTCTTCAGTTATTTCTCAGTATGCTTTTGAGACATAAATATTCACTGAGAAGCTTTGTTCAATCAACTTGGCAGCATCTGGCTCAATCTGAACAGTTCAAAACAATCAAAATATTCATGTTGAACACAAATGACAAGTGCAATTTGAAGTCGCGTGTAAATATTTGACAGCATCCTTATTGTTTTTTTGTTTTTTTACTGAGAAGCGGGCTGCATTGATAATAATAATAATAATAATGGGTGGTTTTGATCAATAACTAGTCAAGATTTTAGAAGTCAGTGAAAAAGAAGCCACCAAAACACTTTAAAGAAAAGCCTGGAGAATGACAGATAAAACCATTTTAAAAGTGACAAGTAACTTTAACTACTGGAACGCAACGTCTAAAGAATGAGGCACAACTCAAACCTTTTTCAGAGGTTTGTAAATAACCATATCATGTTTTGCAAAAGATATTTAATCACCATTCTGTACCATTACTTTGTCATTATGGTATGGGTTTAATAAATTTTTATCTGTTTATAGACTTGTAAGGTTTAGCTCTATATCTATATAGTATGCAACCAAGAACAGCAAGTTCAAGACCACAAGCGAGTTTAACAGATTTCATTTAAGTGAATATATCTTGACAGTGTGAAGAATCAGCAGGGCGGGAACCCTGGAGAGCAAGGCACAAAGTCAGTCGGAGGCTTCTTCTTGAGGGGTGGTTTTGATGTTCAGTTTCTCTCTTAATGTAAGTAGGCAAAGCTGTCTCAGAGGCGAAGTCCAAAAAAGGTTCCAGTAGTAAAGAGTGAGGAAGATCCAGGAGGTTTCATACAACCGGTGGACAAGTGGTGGAACCTTAAATTATACAGGTTAATCCCATTGAGCCTCGGGGACCCATTTACAGAAGAGACCTGATTTTAAGAGTGATGATAACAGTGGACAACAATAGACAATCATAAAGGATGCGTAGAAACTGAGAATGACAAGTGAAAATAAAATGGCATTTTAAAAAAAATTTAGCAAAAAACCCCCCAAACAGTTAGGTTATAAGGCGATGTAGAAAACTAAAACAAGAACATGTCTGCGTTGGTTTTTCTCATGAACTTAACAGATGTTTGAAGCCATTTAGAGAGGTCAAGGTCGAGAGCTTCAGATCTTTTTGCAAGATATTCCAGGAAACAGGAGCGGAGTAGGAGAAGGACCTTTTGCCTAGTTCAGTCCTCACTGAGGGAACACTGCAGGTAATAATGTCCTACGAGTGCACGCTGTAACTGCACTCACACAGTGACATGTAGGAGGAGATGTATGAAGGCAGACAATGCACCAGCGTCAGATTGCAGTCATCACCTGCCTTAAGTCCTCCTGCAGCTCATTAGGAGAATGGTCCTCAGGTGTGAATCTGTTGG